ATACAGGGTGGTCCACTTAAATCGAACATCTTGAATATATCGCTTATTTTTGGTGATACAAAAAAATGTTTCAAACAAAAGTGAAACATATCTTTTTGGCGCCTCCACCTAAAAAAAAACTAACACGATCAAAATATGTCCTTCTCGAAACCCTTTCACTTTTATTTGAAACATTTTTTTTATATCATCAAAAATAAGCGAGATATTTCAGATAATCGATTTAAGTGAACCCTGTATATACGTTCATAAAATGTTTATGAAACGTATATATAGGGTACCGGATACTACCTGGGTTAATTCTAAAGTTTTCAATACAGATCAAGGAAATATCATTGAAATCTTGTTACGACAAAGTAGAAAAAATAGACATCTTAATTTTCTCCGGAGGAAAAAGGACATGCTTCTGTTTATTTCTTCAACTGAAATTACATTGCTTCAAGGGAAGCAGAGAAGCAGATGGTCGTTTCGATGGATTAAATTTTCAAAATTTGAATCGCCTCGTTCCTTCAGTTTTACAAATTTCATCATCAATTTCGAAAAGGTTACATTCTATATGTTTAATAAATTCGAGCGTACTCTTTATTAATGATATTATTAAGTAAATTAAAATGCATCTAATTGCAATAAGTCTTTGGCTTTATCTGGAATCTCAGTATTACTAAGATTTATTAGCCATTGTTCATTTATATTATTTATTGCAAAGTTTGTTTCGAATTTATCTGAACAAATATTAATATTATGCATTATTCCTTGTTCATTAGCTATAATATCTTTGGTTGAAATTTTCTTTAATATCAACGGTGTGATTTGAATATCTCGATTCGTTTAACGAATCCAGAGTTTAATGAATACATTATGTTATAGTTAATATTTTTAATTTTTATTCTTTCCCTAAATCTATGACTAGCTCGCAAATTTTTGGTTTTATTGTTAATCTTTTCTTGTTCTTTTACCCAAATTCTATTAAAATTGGTTTCTTGTCTGCGAAAGAATTGCATATGTCAAATGGTAAAATTTTTTCAATCTATCTATACATGTTAAATATCTCAAATTTTATGTGTTCAAGTTGTTTGCATGCGTCTTGTAATTCTACCCATAAATATTTAAATATAAAATTATGTTCTGTCAATTCTTTCTTTTGAAGAGCGAAAAAGATTATTATTTTCATGTCGTATAAATTTGAACATATGATTCGGGATTAGTCCTTCCTTCAAACATGTTTTCAAAAAATAAATGCTTATTCTTATATTAATATTAGTCCTATAAGTTCTTATACATTTCTTTAATAGAAAGCACGAACGAAATCGAAAATTAAATTTAATAAAGTCAAAAAAATTCCTTATATAACACATGTTAATGCTTGTGGGATTAAAATATATAATTATAACAAACGCGGTTTTTTAAATCATAAAATTAACCAAAAGGAAGAGCATAAAACCACAGCACAAGATATTCTTTGTGATATTTAATATGTAATTAAATTTATAAATAATTTAGACGTTTCGGCCACAATCTGGTCATCTTTAGTAAATTTCAATATCAAATATTAATAAAACAGAATTTAACATAAATTTAACATTAAAATTCAGCGGTCATAAATATAATTATAAATCAATGCATTTTTTCCTCTTGTACGAGTACATAAAATGTGGTTACAGAGCCAATTATCATATTGTAAATTATGTAGAACGAGAATTGCCAGATTCTAATTTAAAATAATTATAATATTGTTAATATCTTCAAGTCAATTTAATAAGGATTAACAATTCGTTTTTTAGACAAAATGATGAGTCTTAAGCACTTTCTTCACACAGAAATTCGTCGTGACATTGTGTATTATTATTTGTCTATACATTCATATGTGTCCGCTATTTACATGTGCATTCAAAAATTTTTTAGATTATTCTAGAATTATTTTTAAGTATGAAAGAGATCTTTCTTTAGAAAAGGCAGATGAACATCAGGCAAACCTTCAGTGTCACTTTGCTTATTTATACTACTTATTTGACTTTTTATATATATCATCTCAGAAATTTTTCTTTTGACTAATGATTGTTCTGTGTCTAAAATTCTAACATTATCCCAATCCATGCTTCTCATTAACTTGGTGGCGTGAGACTACTGACATATCGATAATAGATCTTCTTATGTCAACTTTATGTTCTTTGATTCGAGTTTTTAATTTCTTTTTTATTTAGCTGACATAAGAAGACTCACAATCTAGACAATTTATCTTATAAACCATTCCACAATGGTCCTCTTTACATAAGCGATCTTTTCCTGTTTTTATAAATCTATTCATTTTGTTTATAGGTTTGTAAGCGTTATTAAAGCCTTGAATATGTGATAGTTTTTTAAATTTTTCCGATACTTTACTTAAATATGGTATTATGAAAAACTTTTTCTTTAAATTAGAATTAGAGTTGCTTTCGTTATTATTATGCTTACCATTTTTATCTAAATTAGATCTATTTTCTAAAGTTTTAATTTTATTTTTTATTGTTGAAAAGATGAATTTAAGAGGATAACCATTCATTAACAGAGTGTGAAATAAGTCAGAGATGTTTTTTTCTTGAAATTTTGGATGGGATAAAAGCAATATTCTAATTGCCCGATGATTACATCCCTTTTGTGTACTAACGGATGATTCGAAAAGTAATTTAAATATCTCCCTGAATTAGTAGGTTTTTTTGCAAATATCGAAGATGATTCTTCCTTCTGGTCTCATTAGTTTAACGTCTAAAAAATTAATGCCATATTCATCGCCAAAGTCAACTGTGAATTTTAGCGTTTCATGATATGAATTAAACAATTCCAGAACATTCTCCATTTTGTCTTTATGCATCGCTAATACAATGTCATCAACATAACGGAAATAAAAAGACGAGATAACATTATTAGTAGTAATAATTTCTTGTTCTAAGTCTTGTAGAACAATATTCGCTAATATAGGGGACAATGGAGAGCCCATTGGCATGCTAAAAATCTGTCTAAATATTTTTTTGTTGAATTTAAAAAATGTAATAGTTAATTAATCATAATTGCTTTGATAAACTGTAAAGGAATCGAAGTCTTGTTTTCGATCAAGTTCCACCTACGTTCAATATTCTTTACTAAATCGGTCGGAATATTCGTGTACATCGAGACTACGTCAAATGATATAATACTGAAGTTTTTATCGATTACCTTTCCATTGAGTTTATTTACAATATCAAAACTGTTTTTTACGTAACTGAAATTCTTTTTATTATTATCATCTATAATATATTTTAAGAAGGTCGCCAATGGATAAAAATCACTGTTTATGTAGCTAACTATCAATCTTAGCGGATGACCTTCCTTATGAATTTTTGGCAGTCCATAAGAACGCGGATGTTCGCCGTCCGATACATACAATTTTTTGTATACGTTTAGGTCAATGTACCTTTTGTTTTTCCAATTTTTTAGTAAGTTATTAATTTCCGCTGTAATTTTGTTTTTTTTAGTAGGATCTTTATTTATTAAACTGTATGTACTCTGATCATTGAGAATCTCATACATTTTCTCTATGTAACTTTCACGATTCATAATTACTGTTGTATTACCTTTATCAGCTCTGGTAATTAAAATGTCAGGATTCTCTGAGATGAGCTTTACTTCCCTTACACTTTCTCGTATGATATTATTTTCAGACGATTTAATATCACAATTATTTATTGATTTAAGTATTTGAATAGTTTCATTCCTAACCGATTTACAAATTTCGTCATCAGCTCTGAAAAGGTTATACTCAACATGTTTAATGAACTCGAGCATACTTCTTTCTTTGCTGATGACGTTATTAGGTAAATTAAATTGCTGACCTAATTGCAATACGACTTTTGTTTTCTCTGGAATCTCAGTATCACTGAGATTTATTAGCCATTGTTCGTTTGTACTCGTTATTGCAAAATTTGTTTTAAATCTGTCCGGGCGAATATTAATATTATAAGTTGTTTGTCGTTCACAGACTGCGATATCTTTGGTTGTAATTTTCTTTAACTTCACCGGTGCACTAAGAGTATCGCCATTCATCTCAGAGTCTAACAAATGCATTACGTTATAGTTAATATTTCCAATTACTATAATAGACTTTCAATTATTATAATAGACTTTTCTATAGAGGAATTTATTTTTTATCATAACTCATGTATCCTCATTTTTATAAAGGAATATGTATTATAAATACACGTACCTGATTTATGTAAGATTTTTTGCTTAGAGGAAATGCTAAGAGGAATTCCCTCGCTTTTCGGCAGAATTTTTTTTTTTTTTTTTTTTAGTGAAACTACAAATTTTTCATGCAATAGCTATAATATTTTTATATTAGTTCAAAATAAAATTATTTTTATCTCAAATTATATTTTACATTATATTTAATAGATATATACACATTATATGTGTTAAAATAAATCAGAGGATGAAGAATTAAACTGACAATTATGTTGAAATTTCGCTAAAAATTCATATTTTGAAATATTTAGTATTTGAAAAATATTTTTCTCAAAATTATTACAGTTTATTTATTAAAAGTGAAATGTATGTACTAACTTTTAAATAATGTTCATTATTTGAAAAGCAAACTATCAAAATTCGTTTTGTCTAAAATTTATAATTTCCAGAAAATGGGAAAGAAAATTAATATTCTTTTTTTTTTAAACAAAGAACGCTAAAAATAAAAAAACAATATTTGCTATCTATTATAAAATTGACACTTAGTTTCTCTCTCTCCTTTAAAATTATTTAGAAAAAATCAAAAGTAAAAACATTCTGCATTTTTTTATTTGTTGTCATTATTAAGCAACGTAACATTATCATGTACGAATATTAATAAGAAAATTATCAGATTATTATAGAGATATAAATTATTATAGAGATATTAATGATAGAGATTAAAGACAGAAAGATAGAAAAATCATTAAAGATAGAGAAAAATCAGTGTACGTATTTAAATTCGAAGTAAAGCCAAGTAATTTATATACCTCGTGTCATCATGTCTGTTCCCGATACGGTCCACTCTGAAAGAAAAAAATAAAAGAATAATCATTTCTCGCATGCTTGATACTGTGTACCTACAGTCTACATTTTATCGCAATTATATATGTAAGATAAATTATATCAAAATTCTCGTTATGTATTGGGTATGGGAATAAGTTTTCGCCCCCCTCCCTTTTTAAATGAAAAAGATGTGTTTATTTAAACAAATCTATATAAGTGAGTTTATTCAAAGTATGCTCCTTCGGAATTCGACAACTTTCTCCCACCTTTCCGATAAATAAACGGATTCCTCGAATGAAAAAATCTGGTTCTTTTGAAGTGATCCATTCATCTATTTTTTGATACCTTCATAAGAATTGAATCGTTCTCCAGAAAGGGCCGACTACATGGATCGGAACAAATGGAAATCTGAAGGGGCAATGTCCGGTGAATACGGCGGGTGGAGCAGAATTTCCCACTTTACTTCTTCCAAGTATTTCTTGACCGGTTTTGCAACGTGGGGCCTAGCGTTGTCATGTAACAGAATCAGCTTGTTATGCTTATTGTCCCATTCCGGTCGTTTTTCTTTCAAAGCTTGGTTTAAACGTATCAGTTGTAGGCGATAACGATCCCCGTGATGGTTTCGGACGGTTTGAGCAGCTCATAATATATAATATCTCTTTGATCCCACTAGATGCACAACATAATCTTCGATGCATGGATATTTCGTTTTGGCATTGATGGACCTGGTTCACTTGGCATCACCCATGCTTTCAAGCGTTTAGGGTTATCGTAGTAGATCCATTTTTCATCGCCAATTACGATACGATGTAAAAAACCCTTCCTTTTCATTGACGAAGCATTTCGCAGATGATCAAACGTCTTTCCATGTCTCTCTCTTTCAATTTGTATGGCACCCAATTTCCTTCTTTTTGCACCATTCCCATTGCGTGTAGACGTTTTCCAACAGTGGATCTATCAACATTTAACTCTTTTGTCAATCTATCGAGCGATAAACACGAATCTTCTTCGAATAATGCTTGCAATTCTGCATCTTCAAATTTTTTCGGTGCTTTTTTCGGTGCACCTTCGCGTTCTTTGTCACGTCAAAATCACCACTGTTGAATCGCCGAAACCATTCTTTACAACTAGTTTTCGATGGAACATCCGTAATGGAACTCACCGTAAATATCTACGAGCAAACGATGCGTTTCCGCAGTACTTT